TTTTGTTGACCTTTGTCCATGGAAGGTCCCTGCAAAATTTCATTGAAATTGGTTCAGGGGTTTTGGAGAAGAAGTCGAAAATGTAAATTGTTTACGGACGCACGACGGACGACGACGGACAAAAGGCGATCGCAATAGGTCACTTGAGACTTTGTCTCAGGTGACCTAAAAAGTTGATGGACAGATGGATGGAAGACAGACACTGCAACATCACATAAGCTCACAGGCACTTGGAGCCAGGTGAGCTTAGAACACGATGTAACTGTAACTCCGGTGAGACTTGTACAGATTTTACAACATGTTGTTGCGATGTTTTTGAGATGAATATTTCATGTCATTAATGAACATTACCTTTGGCCTTTGTTTGAGAAGTATTTGGGTTACAGGAGCAGACTTTATCAAGGAGTCAGATAAATAAAGCAGTGTTACAGTCAGCACAGGTAGACAGTACATGTCACACAGCTCACAGCTTTACAGCCATAGCTGTGACATGTACAGCCTGTTTCTCTCGCCTATCTATAATTGCTACACTTGTACCTGTAAGGCTGGTTAAACTGTCTTACATTATTTAAGAAAGATCAGTTGGTGCTGCATCATCCTATGTCTCACCAAAATAATTCCCGTGAATGAAGAAAGGCGTGTAGGCTCAGTTTACTGGTCATGGCCCATATGCCATAATAAGTGTGTACATTCTACCACAAGACAATGTGCCACCCAGACTACTCAATAGATACTAGTAGACAGGATTGTGTGGTTCTTCTCAGTGGTGCCACACACTATATCTCATCAAACTTTGAACACGCCTACACCTGATACGTGTTATATACAAAGTCAATTTCAATCAAATCTCACTACATCTGCTATAAACACTACAAAATATTCTCTAGAACTTGAACCATTTAGTGATCATATCACACATTATGAAATTTGTCATGTCTTGCATAAAACATACATGTACATTCAATTATAAAAAATGCCTTCATGACCACACCCATTTTTGGCTACCGATGGCTTCGATTGACAAGAGAGACAGCTTCCCTCATATTAAAAATTAAAGACAACATCTCCTTATCCAACTGACTGTGCTCATGCCCAAGTTATATTGTACTCCCATCATATTTACTAAATATAGCTCAAAACAGCCCCTTCATGCTGCCACACCCACCTTGATTGGCCCTTCCTGTAAACACACAAACCTTACAATCACACCCACCTCAGATAGCCCTTCCTGCCATCACACCCACCTCAGATAGCCCTTCCTGCCATCACCCCCCCCTCAGATAGCCCTCCCTGCCATCACACCCACCTCAGATAGCCCTTCCTGCCATCACACCCACCTCAGATAGCCCTTCCTGCCATCACACCCAACTCAAATAGCCCTTCCTGCTGCTGCACCCACTTTAGACAGCTCTTCTTGCTGTCAAACACACCTTAAACAGCCCTCCCTGTTGTCACACCCACCTAAGACAGCCCCTATTGCTGCCAAACCCATTTAACCACCAACCACACCCACCTTAGATGGCCCTTCCTGTTCCCTACCCAACTTACCACAAAACCTATCTTAGATGGCCCTTTCTATTGCCACACCCACCTTACCACCACATCCACCTTACCACCACACCCACCTAAGACAGCCCTTCCTGTTGCCACACCCACCTTACCACCACACCCACCTAAGACAGCCCTTCCTGTTGCCACACCCACTTACCACCACACCGACCTAAGACAACCCTTCCAGTTGCCACACCCACTTACCACCACACCCACCTATGACAGCTCTTCCTGTTGCCACACCCACTTACCACCACACCCACCTAAGACAGTCCTTTCTGTTGCCACACCCACTTACCACCAAACCCACCTAAGACAGCCCTTCCTGTTGCCACACCCACCTTACCACCACACCCACCTAAGACAGCCCTTCCTGTTGCCACACCCACCTTACCACCACACCCCCCTAAGACAGCCCTTCCTGTTGCCACACCCACCTTACCACCACACCCACCTAAGACAGCCCTTCCTGTTGCCACATCAAACTAAAACAGCCCTTCCTGTTACCACATCCACATTACCACCACACCCAACTTACCACCACACTCACCTTACCACCACACCCACCTTACCACCACATCCACCTTACCACCACAGCCACCTTACCACCACAGCCACCTTACCACCACACTCACCTTACCACCACACTCACCTTACCACCACACCCACCTTACCACCACACTCACCTTACCACCACACCCACCTTATCACCACCATCACACACACATGGCCACTCTCACCTTACCACCACACCCACCTTACCACCACACCCACCTTATCACCACCATCACACACACATGGCCACTCTCACCTTACCACCACACCCACCTTACCACCACACCCACCTTACCACCACCATCACACACACATGGCCACTCTCACCTTACCACCACACCCACCTTACCACCACACCCATCTTACCACCACACCCACCTTACCACCACCATCACACACACATGGCCACTCTCACCTTACCACCACACCCACCTTACCACCACACCCATCTTACCACCACACCCACCTTACCACCACCATCACACACACATGGCCACTCTCACCTTACCACCACACCCACCTTACCACCACACCCATCTTACCACCACACCCACCTTATCACCACCATCACACACACATGGCCACTCTCACCTTACCACCACACCCACCTTACCCACCACCATCACACACATATGGCCACTCTCACCTTTAGCATTCCTGTAGAGGAGGAATGGGTCCTGCTGCTGAAACTCTAGCTCCTTGCTGATTGGTTCAATGAGATTCTTGAGGCCCAGGCGATTCAGGATCATGAAGCCATGAATTGGGGCAGCTGACCTACAATGGAGTAACAAGGCAAACTTTAAAACAAACATTCATTTTAACTGTTCATATCTATACTTCATCATAAGTGAATTACATAGTACTTATAAGTAATGAAAACTCTTGTTTGGGAAATTTGTAGGAAACCTTTTTCTTCATATGTCTTGCTTTTCATCTAATGCTCCGAAATAACATGTAATTGACATGAACCTGAAGACATTATCAATACCATTTTTTTTTATGCTTGCTTCAGTCTCCAACATTTTCCACAGCAGTTGGAACTTTTATCTTCAGGCTCATCAAGTACAGACTTTCAACGATTCAATCATTACTTATTCCTTTCTATCAACAGAATCTCCAAATTTTGTCAGTCATATTTATGATAATTTTTGTTTCTCAAAGAAAATAATTCATTCTCATATGTTTGCTTAGAATCATTAGATTCTCACAAAAGAAATCTGTTACGTATTCATAAGTCCTGTAAAAGTGCAATACTTATATAATCATATTACAGTAATTGCATTATACCTAATACTTTCAAGGGGGATTCAACGATTAGCAAAGCCATACACTAGTTCTCCAGCTGAATTTGTGTAATTTCTCATAAAGGAATGGAACTTATAAATAAGTATACAAAACCCCTGATAATGAAATAAGTTCTTTTTGAGAAATACAGGTATGGCATATTTATTACAATCTGACGCAAATAAGGAACAATCATCGACAAACACATAGATAGAAAACTTCTCCATCATCCTATTTACAAATAGCATCACATAAAGCACTGACACATGATCTGAACCGAGGTATGATTGCTTTTACCAGTGTATAGTTTCATATAGACGCAATGATTTTATGATTAAGTTACATTGTAGTACGTCAGAAAAGGAATTGGAGTTTATCCAACACAGGCATGCCTTTGCTACCCCACCCGTTTGTATCGTTACCGCTGTATGCTCCTGTTTTACAATTTTATGTGTTATATTGTGTAATATACTAATGTAACGCAGTACAAACAGACATAAGGTTTAAACATCGAGGCCACTCCAAACATCTTTTGCAGTAATCAACCTTGAAACTTTTTTCGATTCTGACGCTGGTCTTTCGACAGGGGAGGTAATTTGTAATGTGTACACTCAATATCATTCTTCTAATCAATATATCTTGGCTTCAATTAAACTGCACCTCACATTAAAGGTCGGATGTTATTGTTAGACAGAGGTCAAATGGAGTCCCCCAGCTGCCATCTAACCACCATGTGTCACAATAGACAATATATAGATATGTTTTATTACATGTGAGAGCCATGAAATATCCTTGTTACTTGTTATCAAGAGGACAACCTGCTGCATGAAAACTTACTGATGAAAAAGAGTTCGCTGTACAAAGAACATATTCATTGATTTCTAACAGAAACAGATCATGACCTACTTTCATATCATATTAATTCCTCTTTTTCAAATATTTCTTTGTCCTGTCACAGGCTGGGAATGATATTACACATAGTAATGGCCTCTAACATTTCAGTGATGAACTCTTTTATCATATTATTCAACGCACATTTATCAATATTTTGAAAATTAGAAATTGTTCTAATTTTGTAAATAATCACTTGCAATTTAGTCAAAGAGTATAATTAAAAAAAAATATTCCAGATAAATCCCTGATAAGATCAGATTTTATAGAAGGAACCCAAATAAAATATACCTTTATAGCAAAATATTTCCCTAAGGTATTTTCTTGCTTGTAGTCAGACCCTTACCAAAATGTATGATCTGGATTGTATAATCAGTTATTCCTCCAGAAGAAAGGTTTTACAATTACACATGAAGCTTGAGAGGCTCCAGAAAACCCCAAATTCAGTGACAGTACCACAAAGTATAGGAACTTAAGGACAGTACCACAAAGTATAGACACTTCAGGACAGTACCACAAAGTATAG